CATCAACCAAAGCGGTCTGGGTTCTCCTCTGTCAACTAACCACAGGCCGATCTGGTAGAGGCGTTTTCTCAATTGAGATTGCCTCTTCTCAAAGGACTCCAGCTTGGGTCAAGTTGACAATATGCTAACCAGGACGAGGGTAAATGTTGGCAAAAATGTGAAGATGTTGGAACGTTTTTCAGTTACTCTGGAAGTGTAAAATGATTCTACTTAATCTTAATCAAATCATTATAATTCTTATTAGCTATCCTACTAGTGGATTTCTGTTAAGTCTTCTTCATGTACCTAAAGGCTAAAAGTGGTGGTCTGAATGAAAATGGCCTCCCGTAGGCCCATAGGGAGTGATGATATAGGAGGTGTGGCTTTGTTGGAATATGTGTGGCTTTGTTGGAGGAAGTGTGTCACTGGGGGTGGGCTTTGAAGTTGCAGAAGCTCAAGCCAGACCCATGTCATTCTCTTTTCTGGCTGCCTGCTGGTCCAGATATAGACCTCTCAGCTTCTTCTCCAGCACCATGTCTGCCTGCATGCTGCCATGGTGATATCCCTCTATGGTGATAATGGACTAAACTTCTGAAACTATAAGCTAGCCCCAATTAAATGTTTTCCTTTATAAGAGTTTACTCTTGATCTTATTCTTTACAGCTGAGTAACATTTCATTTGTGTATATGAATCACATTTTCTTTATCTGTTTATCAGTTGATAGACATCTTGGTTTGTGTATATGAATCACATTTTCTTTATCTGTTTATCAGTTCACAGACATCTTGGTTAATTCCATTTCCTGATTACTGTGAACTGAACCACAGTGAACATGGATTTGCAAGTGTCTCTGTGGTAGACTATATAAAGTCCTTTCTACCCAGGAGTTACATAGCTGGGTCTGATGGACTCTGTATCTAAGTGTTTGTTTGTTTCTTGTTTGTTTAGAAAACTCCAGAGTGATTTCCCAGTGGCTACAGTAGTTACTAGTTTACATTCCTACAAACACTGTGTATGGATTCTCCTTTTCCCCATCCTCACCAGCATTGGTTGTCATTTGCATTCCTGACTGCCATGAGATTAAATTTTAAAGTAGTTTGAATCTTCAGTTCCCTGATAGCTAAGGATATTAAGAACTTTTCTTTCTTTCTTTCTTTCTTTCTTTCTTTCTTTCTTTCTTTCTTTCTTTCTTTCTTTCTTTCTTTCTTTCTTTCTTTCTTTTTCTTTTTCTCTCTCTCTTCTCTCTCTCCCTCCCTCCCTCCCTCCCTCCCTTCCTTCCTTCCTTCCTTCCTTCCTTCCTTCCTTCCTTCCTTCCTTTCTTTTAAAAATTTTTTTTTATTTTATGTACATTGGTGTTTTGCCTGCAAATATATATGCAGGAGTCAGACAGCTGTGAGCTGTCATGTGGGTGCTAGAAATTGAACCTGGGTCCTCTGGAAGAACAGCCAGTGCTCTTCACTGCTGAGCCATCTCTCCAGCCCCCAATTTCTTTCTTTAGTGTCTTAAAGTTTTCATTGTAGAAGTCTTTCATTTCCTTGGTGATGTTTATTCCTGAGTTATTTCTGTTTGATTTTTAGATGGTGTGGGTACTATGAATGAGATTATTTTCCTGATATATTTTTTAGTGTGTTTGTCATTGGTACATAGAAAGTCACTGATTTGTGTGTGTTAATTAAAAAAAAAAAAAAAGATGGGAGCTGTTGATGGAGAGTATGAACAGAAGTACCCTGCATGGGTAAGCAATGCTGCCCCCAGACGACATGGATTGTTAGTGAAAATTTCAGTGCCAGGCACAGGTTACCTCCCTGTGGGTTATCCTACAGGATCAGAAAGGCCCCAGAGGCACCCAAACAATACAGGATATTGCCATTGTTCCTGGCTGCAGATGAGAACTAGATGGTAAGACCCTGTTGCTGAAGACACCACTCACTTTGGAATCAGTACAGAAAGAAACCAATTTTGAATTAATAAGAAAATATTCACCTTGCTTACTAGTTTACCTAGTTCCAGAACATGCTATGTAGGCTGCTGGGGGAGAAAAATCATTGTTCTTACCCTGCTCTGGACCATTCATGGTACAATACCAACCTGCTGGCAAGATGTGTCCATTGGTGTGAGAGTGGCATGATGGGTAAAGGGTTAATTGCTTGCTTTCTAATTGGATATGAGGCATGCTCTATAGGAGGAATTTCATGCCTAGTACTATAAACATGGTCAAAAGCCCATGACTGGGAGATCATGGGCCCAGGGAACCTATTGATGTTTTGTTAAGGGATCATGCTGTGAAACTACCTTCTTTGTGTTAGTATGTGTAGATGTGTGGTGCTGTCAGTTTTGATCAGAGAAGCTTCTTTTTGCAGTGGGTGGTGGTTCAAATGCCCACTGTGTGTAACTCTGAGCACTCGGCTATGGATGGATCATCTGTATCAATCTCCTACCATCCAGAGCTCTGGGAACTTCACAGAAGGAGAAGAAGGAATGCAAGAGTGAGCAGATGGAGAGAGCTATGAAATGCTTTCTCTGGACATGACCATGCATGCATCAAATCAAAGCAGCTGCAGTTGCCTGCAGAAGACCTGCACATGATCAAGCCGGCACATTTCCAGTATGGTTGGGGGAGGGGATCTCAGAGCTGCTGCAGCAAGGAGAGTCACTCTTTGAATAGAGCGCCACAGCTAGAGTGTTTGTGCCCCAGTGAATGGACACACACACACACACACACACACACACACACATTCATATGGGCACTGACTGGACTCAGGGGGGTACTTATAAAAAAAATTAAAAAGAGGACATAAAGTTGGGAAAGAAATGGGGTGGTCCAGGGAGAGTGGCGGGGAGGTAGTGGTGGATGGGTATGGTCAATGTACATTGTATGAATCTGTGAAACTTTCAATGAATAAAACATTATCGTTTTTAAACATTAAAAAAGAGTATCATATGACCCAGCATTTTCACCTGTATTTCTGCATTCAAGAGAAATAAAAACATTTGTTTGCACAAAATCTTGTACATGAATGTTGATAACAGCAGCTATTCATCATAGCCCAGAGGGAAAAGGACCAATGCTTATGACCATCAATGGATAAACAGATAAGCACATTTTGTTATATACATAAAGTGAAATATTATCCAACCATAAAAAGGAATGAAGTACTTATGGGTGAACCTTGAAAACACTCTAAGCGAAAAGCAGATATAAGTCACATAATGCATGAATTTTTAAATAAAATATCTATAATAGATATATCATCAAGGCAGAAAGGCTGGTGTTTGCCCAGGGAAAAGGAAGAAGGTGTGTGGAATTTCTCCGAGGCCATGAAGAATTCAAACTAGCTGGGCGGTGGTGGCACATGCCTTTAATCCCAGTACTGTGGAGTCAAAGGCAGGTGGATCTCTGTGAGTTCAAGGCCAGCCTGGGCTACAGAGTGAGTTCCAGGAAAAACACAAAGCTACACAGAGAAACCCTGTCTCAAAAAAAC